CAAAGTCTTTGTTCCAGCAACAGAGTGAAACCAGAACAGTGGGTGTGCCCACTACACCCAGGAGGGCAAGGGAACAACTCCACTTCATATCCTTTGCTTCCTATTTGGTCCATCTGTGGTTGGTGGATGGTGCCCGCTCACATTGATAAACCTGAGTCCAGTCGTTCAAATACTAATCTCTTCTAGAAATAAACACACACACACACACACACACACACACACACACACAAACACACAAACACACACACACTTACATACAATCACATTCACACAAACATATATACACTCACACACCCACACTCACATACACATTCACACACACTTACATACACATACACTCACATAAACCCACACTCACATACACATACACTCACACACAGAGATGCAGTTGTATCAGTGATGTGGGTATCCCTTAGCTCAGTTAATATATAAAATTAAACACCATTCTCCCCTCTCTCCCCCAGATGGGTTCAGGTTTATCCCTTGAAGATGTGGTTGAGGTCTAGACTATGCCAGAAAATTCTCTTTGATTTTACACTCAAGAGCCCTAACTATGCTGAGCTGTGGTGGTGCACACCTTTAACCCCAGCACTTGGGAGGCAGAGGCAGGTGGATCACTGAGTTTGAGGCCAGCCTGCTCTACAGAGTGAGTTCCAGGACAGTCAGGGGTATGTAATGAGACCCTGTCTCGGAAAAACAAAAAATAACTCTAACCACCTGATTTAATGTTTGGCTGGCTGCCCAATGGTTGTGTGCTCTGTAGTGTGTGTGTGTGTGTGTGTGTGTGTGTGTGTGTGTGTGTGTGTGTGTGTGCGTGTGCGCACGTGCGTGCAGGGGTGTATTATGTGTGGCATGTGCGTTCATGAGATTGCTTTCTTCCCATATTTAGACAACATGTTTGGAGTAGAGATCAAGTCTTCCTGACTGAGCATCTACAGACTGTTTATCTAACTGTAAGCACCTCTTTACAGCCTTCATTCACTCAGACCACTCACAGCAAAATTCATTAGCCATCCATCATGCACCAGATCCTGTGGCCAACCCTGGATGCTGGCTGGGCAGCAACCATGAAAGATAATTAAAGACAAGTCAGGTAGGGGTCCCCACTTCACTGATAAAACTGCACATCTGTGTGTGTGGCCCAGGTAGACCAGGGAGAGTCTATCCTCTTATATTTGGGGCTATGATAGAGACAGCATCCAGGGTTCAGTGCTCTGCCTACTGCCTCATTTCCCAAGCCCAGTCCATCTTTTTGGGGGGCTATGGGAGTTGGGATTAAACCTAGAGTTGCACACTACCTAGGCACTCTACCATTGAGCCTCGTGTGTGTGTGTGTGTGTGTGTGTGTGTGTGTGTGTGTGTGTGTGTGTGTGTGTGTTTTGCAGGTGTGCACACATATGTGGAGGACATATGGGAATGTTGGCTATCTCCTTCTCCCGCTCTTTGTCTTAGTCACTTGAGACAGGGTCTCTCACCGAACCTAGAGCTCACCAATTTCCCACTAGGCTGGTGGTCAGTGAGTCCTGTCAGTGTTCTGATCTCCAACCGTCACCACGCTGGGGTTCCTGGTACATGTGGCCAGCCATACCTGGCTCTTCACATAGGTTCTGGGGATATGAACTCAGGTCCTCACGCTTGTGCCTGAAGTACTTGTGTACACTAAACTGTCTCCACAGCCAGCCTGTGCCTTCAAAACCAAAACCAAACCCCACTCTTTGTTTTGAGGCAGGGTCTCACTAAGCCGCCCAGACAAGTGCCTCGAAAGCACATCATTTTCCTGCTTCAGCCTCCCGAGTAGCTGGGATTACAGGCCTGTCCCAGCAAGGCCAGTCCGAGCCATCCTTCAAAACCCAAGACTTGCCAGTCCCACTCCCGACTCAACCTATGACAGTGCCAGTTCCTAACACAGCAGAATCTAAGTATCGACATCACCACCACCACATCCTCCGAGCTGGAGACTTTGGGGAGCTTTTTAAGAGCTATTGTCTTTAGAGAATGATAGTGTCACTGGGCTGTTAGGGAAAAGATTTCCAAACTGGGTTTGGTGGTGCATGCCTGGAATCCCAGCACTCAGAAGCAGAGAAAAGAGGATTACTGGAAGTTTGAGGCCAGCCTGAGCTACATAGGAAATTTCAGGCTGGCCTGGGCTATACAGTGAGACCATGGAGATAGAGATAGAGAAGGAAAGAAAAAAGGAAGAGATAGGTAGGGGAGGGAGGGAGGGAGGGAGGGAAGGAAGGAGGGAGGGAGAGAAGGAGAGATGCATACAGAGAAAACGACTCTCTTGGTAACAGGATAGAGGGGCTTGGGTCCCTTACCTGTGCTTTGCTGCCTGAATTACCCACTCAGAGCAGCTCCCCTTGCCTGCCGCTCCAAGGGGACCCTGGTAAACTCTTAACGCTAGCGTTTAAGTTATCTGCCTGTAGGGCAGCCGGGGCAGCCAGAATTACAGGCCCGGCCCACATCTATGCTCTTTACCCAACTAGTTTCTGTCTCTCTATTTCTGAAGTTCTAAAATTATATATGGAGAGAAATGTTTTTGACCTTGTGGTAATACGTTTTCTGTAAGGTCAGAAATAAATAAGTAAAAATTAATCTGACAATCTCTGAGTAGGCTGAAAAATGCCACTCTGCGTTCCCCTTGGATTTGACCCCAGAACGGTTCCCCTCATTGACAACTGATTGGTTTAAATAATTCATAGCCCTTTGCCAGGCCTATGGCTTCCAAGTGGCACCTGGTTGATGAAGGCTGTGACTGACGGGTGATTACAGGCTCAGACGTTCACTGTGCATCAGAGTGAGGCTCAAACCCATCTCCCCAATGTCTTCAGGCAAGTCTATGCTCTCTCTCTCTCTCTCTCTCATCATTTGTGGGGTGTGGGGTTAGGGTGGTATAGGTGTAGAGGCCATTGTTAGATGTCTTCTTCTATTGCTTTCCATTTTACTTCTTTTTAAAATTTACATTACAGTGTGTGTGTGTGTGTGTGTGTGTGTGTGTGTGTGTGTGTCTGTCTGTCTGTCTGTCTGTCTGTCTGTCTGTCTGTCTGTCTGTCTCACAGTGTGCATGGACTTTCAGGAATCTGTTTTCGCCTTCTGTCATGTGGGGACTGGGGATCATTGAGGTTGTCAGGCTTGGCGGTAAAGTGTCTTTACACTCTGAGCCTTCTCACTGGCCCTTCCACTTTATTTTTTATTGAGATGGGGGTCTCTCATTCAATTTGGAGCTGGCCATTTCTGCTAGACTGACTGGCCAGCAAGCCCCTGAGGTCAGTCAGTCTCTGCCTGTGCCACCACCAG